TCGGAATCAGTACGAGTCTAATGCGCCCGTCAACTCTCCGTCTGCTATGACGCCGACTCCAGCAGCACACCCCGATCGCACACGTGCTATCAATTCGGGTCCAGCAGGCTCACCCACTCCAGCCTCGGGAGGGCCTACCTTAGCTCCTGGTATTCACCCTGATCGACTGGCACAGATTGCTCCACCTCCGCCTCCGCCTCCTGGACAGCCACCGAGCCACGGTCATTCTCGACCGCCTGTGGCCCCTATCAACACACCAGATCGCCCATCAGGAGGCCAAGGCGGTAACATCAGAACACCGACGGGCAATTTCCCAACGCCTACCGACGGGGTGCCGTCTGGGCCATCATCGAATGATCGAGGTCGCAGCGGTGGTAGCCGTAGACAGCTTGCGGGTATCAACAGCACCTTGCAGCAAGCACAAGCCAATATGCCAGAAACCAACAGAGGCACTAGTATTCGCGGGCGTGGGGTTGCCAGAGGTAGTATCGCTGGCTCCGATGCTCAAGTTCTGACAGGTGCGTCACCGGTGTCTACGCCAGTCCAAGAACGTCCAAACCCTGTCGGACAAGAAAGGCCACAGACAAACGGCGAGGATCATCAACAAACCGAGCATGACCGCAGCCGCCGCGAGCATCGTTCAGAGCGTGGCCGACATTCGAGACGAAACAGTCGTGAGCGAGAGCGCAGTCCTGGTCGAGAAAGGGAGGGTAAGGAGCCCCGTGAACACAGGGAGAGAAGGTCTGGGACTCAGAACCAGTCATCCACTGGTCGAGAGGAACGTGAATCCCGACGCTCTGGTCGAGAGCCATCCGGCAGCACTAGGGAGTCGCATGCGAACCCTGCCCACGGCAGTAGCCGGGATAACACGGGAAGCAGTCGCGAAACTCGCCACCGAAACGATCGTGGAGACGGTGGACGTGGAGACGCAACGACGGGAACAAGAAATGAAGAATGGGCAGGGAATCCGCGAGGCGCGCCTAGAGGAGGACCTCGCGAGGGAGGTCTAAGACCGAACGACGACCGACGCGAAGATCGGGGCCGAAAGCGTCGAAGCGAAGACGCAGCAGGCTTCCCAAGCGAACGAGAAAAGAGGCAAAGACGCTAGGGGCGGCAGCCGATCTTCTGAAGGAATGAAGGCACGCGAAGTCAACTCGAGGGGATGAGCGACTAGAGAAAGTTATGTTGTATGGAAGATGCCATGGGTCTATACACGACACTTCGCAAAGAATGGACGAGAGAAGAACCGTTTCCCCCGACGAAAGAAGAAACATTCATTACCACTTTTTTACAATTGCTTCTATTATTTACAAGTACTGCATTGGAGGGTTTCGGTTGCACGACCGCAGTGGTCCAAAGGAAGGGAGACCAAGTCAATATCAGATACACACAAAACAATCCACTCTGTATCAAAACCAAACACACAACATCGTTCAGAACAGAGGAACACCATCGGCATTGTACAAGGCGAAATACCGGATGGCTACGTCAGCCTCGGATGAGCCTGCCGCGGCGGCACTTTAGACATGATCGCGGCACACAGCCAGCACACATTATGATTGTACCTTCGACACCGAAGCATCTGCTTTTATATGATACCCCCCAATGTCTCTATTTTTTTTATAAGCTCTAGGGCCCCCAAGGAGACGAAGGGGGCCCCGACGCCGGCAACAGACGGCAGACCGTAGAATTCCCACCGCGTGCGTTCACGTACGCGATGAGACAAGTGTACATCAGCCTTTCGGATATAGGTGAAGCAAAGGGCACGAAAAAGGGTATGGGGAATGGGAGGGAAATTATTTCATGGCTGTATGAGTTGTAATATCAGAGCGAGTAGTAGTGTTTTTAAGGTCCATCGGTGGCGTTCAGGGAGGTGACGAGAGGGCTTTAGCATGTCCATAGACTCAGTCAGGATGGGCTCAGGATGAGCGCAGATCAGAGGCCCAAAAACCTTTAATAGATTTGCCCCAATTTGATCATCTCATTCGGAACGGAGTCACCTTGCAATCGCGATAAATGTATTTGTAACTCAATGAAGTAGCGATCGGCTGGGAAGAACATAGTCGTCCGGTCGCTTGTGTGACGCTGGCGTTGGAGCAGTGAATCTCGGCTCTCCATGCAGTCCGAGGAACCCAAGAGTTGGGATTGACACCAATTCTGTGCTGTGGACCATGCGCAAGGCCCAGACAACCTTTCATACAAGGGATCACGTTGGATGATGCCAATCGAGGCTCCAAAAGAAGGGCGCAGCTTAATGAGTCCAGATTCCAAGCTGTCGATCAACCCACAGTTGTTGGTGGGAAGTATACTGGGCAACTGGGGCAGTGAAGAAGGTGCATCGTGCATGGAGTAGAGTATCCGTACCCAACGAGAGGCTCTGCCGGTTCCGCCTCCGGATTTATGACACTAGAGCAGCAAAAAAAGGGCTAACTGAGATTCTGAGTAGAGTTCTAAGCCCTGTTTCTAGGAACAAGGGGTTGAATTGTCATGTGCAGCTCAAATTTAACGCCGGATAAAGTTGTTCGTCGGATCGAGCGAAGGGGCTTCATTCTTCGAGAAGCTTGAGCTGCCCACCCCGGAAATTGAGAGGGGGTTGGTTGCCTGAGCTTCATCCTTGAGTCAGGTCGTGCTTGCGACAAGTTGTCATGACGGGCCCGCGTCGATCATGTCAAAAATAAAACCGGCGAGTTTGGGTAATTGAGGCTGACTGACTGACTGGTGCAAGCGGCAAGTTTGCGTGAGTCTCTAGTGTCTGATTGGCTGGGTTGGCCAACATACTGCCCAGTGTTCTGGAAGCTCTGGGGACGCCGAATAACTGTAATATAGCAGGACCAAATTTCGCCATTGAACATCATTCATGCGTTCGTCTGAAAGTCTGAACCTCTATGGCTAGAGTCCACACTGCACGTGCCTCTTGACCTACTTAATCTTTGAGTTTATCGTGCTGTGGATAGGGTACGGAGTTGAGGAAGTTGGGAAGCGATTGCGCGAATGCACTTGGTTGGAGTTGAGGACTATCGTCTCAATGGCAACACAGGTAGTTGGTCTAGCAGTATTGGAACTGGAAATGCTTCCCTTGAAATTCCTCTTTAGATGCAGACGATTAAGATACTTTTTTAACAAAATTTCATGTCTTTACCGCTTCTGCCCTGTATGTAGAGTCCCGACACGAGGTCTTATGGCAGCCTTTGGCGCGTGCACCCGCACCGCCGCGCCGCCATGATCGGTGTAATTTACAGATTGATCTACACTTTTCTCCAAAGTCCGTGAGTCTTGGCGCCAAGCGACCACGCTCTTCATCTCTCGGTTTTCTCCGAGCGAAGCTCCTTTGGCTCATCATCGTGTACTTGTTGTATTATTATAAATGAACAGCCTGTCAGTATGTGAATCAGAGGAATGTAGAATAGTCTCAGTATCCAAACCACCAATTCAGTCTTTACCAAGCAACGGCTTTCCAGTCTTTACCAAAAACCACACACTCCTTTTTTCAGGAACTCCCAAGTTTAAAACATCGCGACCATGCAGATCACTCAACTCTTCTCCGCCGCCGTGCTCATGGCCTCCGCCGTCGTCGTCGACGCCAACCCCACCCCGATGCTCGCGGCCCACGGAACGGGTCTGGAGCGCCGCGTCCCCAAGACCTCCGGCGCCGCCTGCATCAAGGCGCCGCTGAGCGCTGAAAAGGACTTCTCCTACTACACCTTCACCATCGACGCCGGCGTCAAGGCCGCCGCCGCGCAGGCTGGTCTCACCAAGATTGGTGTCCGTCAGCACTGCAACTCCAACGGTGGTGCATTTGGAAGTAAGTTTCATTACCCAGCATCTTGAGGTTATGCAATGAACCAAGGTCTCTAACAAAACCCCCCTTTACAGTGTGGGCGCAAAACACCGAGAACTGGGCCTACGTTCCCCTAGACAAGTTCGGCCCCGACCAAAAGTACAACGTCAAGGTCAACCGTTGCAAGAAGGACTTTGACCGCCACGTCTGGAGCTACAGCGTCTGGCTGTGCAACAACAACAACTGGTGCGGCACCACCAACTGCGGTTTGGACCGCGAGATCTGTCCTGAGCAGAAGACTAAGGCCGTTAACCTCAACGACCCCCTCAAGTGGACTTGCTCTGCTTAAGTAGGGATCGTGGCGCTGCGGCTAGTTGAGAAATATATATAGACACTTAGATACCGGTCTTCGACGCCTTAAGTAGAAATTATGGAGTCGGGATAGCGTTGAATTTAATGCATTTCAAAAACCATGACTCCAACGCAGCTATTTTCGTGTCTTCCACTTGAAAGTATACTGCACGTGAAAGTATACTGCCCATCCGTGATCACGACGGTGAAAGCCCATTCAGAGTCTGGATGTAGACGCCATTGGTAAAAGAAAGCCATCGTATCGAGCGTGGTGATGTGCGCTGCGTTCGCAGCTTGAAGAAATACTAGAAAGGATCAACGGACTCGACGTCTTTCTCTGGCAATCTGTGTCGTCTTCTGCGTGTGCAAACCTTCTGTAAGTCATTCAACGCCGGACGCGAGAGGGAGGAAGCTGACGCGACCTTCTTGATAACTTGCCACTCAAGAAACCCTTAAAGTCCGCTAAGCTAAACTATATGCATCAATTCTTAGACAGCGACATACTTGTTAGCAATCTGTACAACTGATAGGGATCAGCGCACAGGAATGGAGGACAACGATAAACCCGAAACAAGCTGGCTTCCTACTAATAGTAGGCACCGAGGTAAACCCCTGTGTTCTTTTGGCAGCCTTGCACCTCGCCGAGATGATAGTTTCTGATAAAATGGAATGGGACTGAGGCAACTGACTGGAAGTCACATTCTGGTGCGGATGGTCCAGATGAAGGATTCATGTTGGGACCGATCAGCATGTTTATGACGACAGCGCCTACTCAGGCGACCATCCGGGAAGACTTGCAGGAAAGCTAGATGGATCATTATTACGAGTTGCCACATTGTTTCAACCCTCAGTATTATGCCTAACTCGGCGCTCATTTCGTCTCTACCGGTTCTAGTTCTTTCCAGTATGCTTCGATGCCCGGTGTAGCATCTCTCTGCACCCTCCCATCTTCCAGGGTAAATTGTGTCTTCCCCAGCATGTACAACCAGCTATTCATACTCTTCGCTCGATCATCCTCGCCGAACCCAGCAAAATGTATCAAAAAGTCGCCACGTCTTGTCTGCCAATCCGAGAGCCCCTTTTCGTCGTTGCCCTCAAGATACGTGGAAGCCTTGAGGCTGCCAGGATACGAGTTGAACCAGGTCTGAGGTACCATTCGTACCCCCTTCTTGAATCTCCTCTCCTTTATTAGTATCTCCATGGCGCTCTGCTCGGTGAAGCGGAGTTCTGTGCCAGGTCTGAAGTGCCGAAAGGCCATGATGGCGCTGAAGAGCTCGATGGCCCATTGACCGACGCGGAGAAGGAAGACCCCGTTGTTAAGGCCGTTCCAGTCGTCCGCCGCTATGAGGTGTACGTCTTCTTCTTTCGGAGTTGACCCGTAGGCCGTCTTGCTTTCGGCAACTCGATTGAGGATTCGGGGTGGAAGGAAGCTCGATATCGGTCGGCATTGGTCAAGGATTATGGTGTCGCGGTCGACCCAGAACAGCCATTCTGCCCGCTCTTCTAGCGGTTTAAGCATCTCATCGAGTAACAGAGACAGTATGTATGCAGGCTTGTTCCACAAGTCGTCAACGATAGGTGTACACATGACTCCGATCCCGTTGCCGTGGAGTGTGGTATGAAGGATGTGAGACTGTAGGGCGTTCTGGTAGTGTTCTCGAATGTTGCCAAATTGCGCCGTCACGGTGGTGATCCGGATGTGGAATTTCGGGTCGGGGAGGGAAGATCGACATGATGACTGCAGAAGTCGAAGGGTTTCTGAAAGGTCAGGAGACAGTTGCGGTAGACATTTGGTCCCTGTTTGAGGCCGAATAGGGGAGGCTGCGGCGGCGTGTTCGAGGGCCGTGGTTATAGAGACTTCATAGTAAAGAAATATTGTACGAATAGAAGTTAGAATAATGACGGTGGCTAGAAGAGTCTTGATGAAAATGGGTGATAATACGAAAGAAAGAATTTTCGGTTGATACATGGCGAGGAAGGATCGCATTGTGGATTTGAATCTTGTTGATGATCCTAAAACTGTTGAATCCGATTTTTCTTCACTTTATATCACATCATCACCAAAGACTTCATCACGATGGATCCCTCGGCCCCCGTGAGGTAGATCCATTCCCCAGACAACATGAATACATGTCGTCTTCGTCCATGCCTGAATTAGAAACTCGTGTTCTTGACATCCACGCGGCCATCTGCCGAGGGTTTCTCCACGGCAGCGTCCTCCGTGGCTTTGTAGCGTCCCTGGGTATGATAACCCAGCGGCATTAAGGACCCATGATTTCCCGCCTGTGATAGCTACGGACATTGTGGAGATTAGATCTCTCAGTGAATTTGCAGGTTCTTCCCTATCAGGCTATCACCGCCCCGTTGCAACTCTTCCTTACATCAAAGGTCTACACCTATTTTTTGAGCCCCAAATAGCCGTAAATCCCTTCCAGATCCTCTTCGTATGCTACTTCTTGTCGCGTGGAGACACGTGTAACAAGGTTCCTATGGGAGGGATGATAACGTTACAAGACTGTTGCTTCGGATCTTTCCGAACTGATGTTTGAGTGGGCTATTCACACGAGACTCTCCCCTATCCGGGGAATTCTTTGCTCGACATGGTGTCTCTTGGCAGCTGTGAATACGGAATCGGAGGTGAAGGCGGAGTAGAAACCACATTAAGAATAGACTACGGACCTCGTCCGTCAAATTAGGAAGATTCCCTGTTTTGCATGGAAATGTGCGCCATTGAAGATTTTAGGTTAGATTGTTAGCATAACCACGAAGCGTATCCAACCCTGTCCACGCGGCTTGTGTGGCTTAGCCCTGGGTTGCGAAAAACCGCAGTTAAAGGTCGCAACACGAGCAACAAGTCTCAATTACTTTGTTCTCTGTATCCAGATGTCTTGATTCTGACTTGTGATATTCTGAAAGAACAACGAACTTTTATTTTCAAAACAAAGTTGACATGGAGACGGAAGAAAAGATCCTTTCAGATGAGAAACGGAACAGTTATTCGCGAGACTATCCGAGCAACTCGCGCACCATATCCCCACATCATTGGTGAGAAAATATCGGTAACAAAAAGGTCTCAAACTGCTGCCTAGAGTACGAGAAGACTTATATTACATTTAGCTTCCCAAATGGGGAAGTTTACTTTGTAGTACTGCGGTGTACTGGGTTGGTTGGTGCAAATACTTTCCTTCCCAGGAACCAAATTCCGAACCGCAGAGGTGGAGAAAGGGGAGACAATATAGACAGGGCCGACAGGCTCTAGAACAGATACAGTTATTGCAAGCGACAGACGACCTCTGGAGCTCATTATAATGTAGCATACATAGCGACGAATGATCAGTTTCGCTACAAACGCCTAAGATGAAGACGATCCATCACCCCCCTTCTCCCGATCACGGGCTGCAATTGTGAAGCACATGAGAGTACGGATGTAAATGCGGACGATGGATACGTCCCCTACGACGTTGAATACCTGCCTTGAGATAAGCTGAAACCTGCTGGATTGCTATCATTGGTTTAACAAAGGAGAGAAAAGCGGTGTATGGTGCGCCGATCACATTGATCAGTTGGATCAGGGAATCGAGACTCGCGACCGAGACTCGCGACCGAGACTCACCAGCTGCTGAGGTGTGACCCATAACTCATATCCCGTAACTCATATCAACGATACAATTCATCTTTCAGGTGGTAATCCCCACTTCAGCCCTCAAATTCAGGTGTCAGGGCTTGACACTCTCAGCGGTCCTTGGCTTCTGGTCTTAGTGAGGCTCCTCACATGAGTGAGTGCCAGTTGACAACCTGTGCCGGAGAATAGACAGTAAAATCTACCGCAGGCCTCTAGATATGGCATGACTGGGGAGTTTGATTCAGTGTCCCCGCGTATTGCTACTCGATGAGTTCAACGCAGTATATTACTGTTGGGTTGTTGACCACGTCCAACTTCCCCAGTAATGCTCATATCCCACTTCTATCATCACATTTTGAATGATCGAACACCTCTTTGACAAAATGCCTCAATGTATAAAACATTAATCAAAGTTTTCGAGAACACCAAGATGTATCGAGTATTCCGACGCACCACGTACACCAAGATTTCATCGCTAAAACCCCGAATTGCCACCTTCTTACTTCCACTTTTCATGTATTAGCTCCTTAATCAGACTCCCTCTCAAGGCTTTGCGTGTTTCAAACAAAATTTGCCCTAATCGTACGAATCACTCTTCCCTTCCTTATTGATATTTTTGCCCTTCAACTGGGGCCTCGATCTCTCTGCTTGAGAAAGAGCAATGCGGCAACTCAGCGCCAGGCTTAGATACTACACCCCAGCGCAATGCCTTTGTCCACATCTCTGGCTCCTCACTTGTTGCCGGATGGCAGGCCGCGGAGATTGCGACACTGCAACTGCTTACCACCGGGATCCCCCCGTAACGAAAACGACGAAAGCCCGATGCAAGAAGAAACCCGACCATGATCGTGCCTACCACTATCACGCATATGACGCCAATCGGTGACCATCCACAGGACATGGCGCTATCTCCAATGGAATGGGATGGCCCGCTAGCATACCGCCCCTCAATGTTGACCAGGAATATGCTCTCCGAAATAAGCCAGTGCATTCCACCAGAAAATACGGTGAGCGGAATAGAGTACCGGTAAGGGAGTTGCAGGAAATACGTCTGCCGTTGGTCACCTCGGCAGTGGAATGAAACCCTCAGACCTTTCTTTTCTTCGCCGAGCCGATCCCATTCGGTGGTCAGAGATATACTGGTAAAGAGGGCGTTATAGCTTAAGTATATCATCGACATGATAACTTGTGGGGTGTTGGCAAGCAGAACGTTGAGAACGAGGGTGTCGGACTCAGCGCTTAGCGTCCCAACGTCCATTATTGTGTCGCCCTGAACCTTCCCAAGCCCATATTTCATGATGTTGGACGCGTCGACTTGGGTGCACCCCCACACTAACAAGATTATGCAAGTGAGAATAGCGGAAACAAATCTACTCGTATTAGTTTGTCGATCTCTAGGCCGAAGAATACATTGAGTTGAAGACTTACATAGCTATAGTAGTCGCCCAACGACGACAGCTTGCTGCAGCAAATTTCCGTCGTCTTGTGGATTGGAACTCTTGTGGGCCGCAATTCCAGCTTGATCCCTTTAGGCTTGCCTTCGACGCAAGAGCCATTGTCTTCGTAGACTCATCTTCAACCGTCAAAAAAGACTCGATAGCGTCACCTACATTCAAGATGGGCCTTTCGGTATTTCCATATGCAACATAAAGCATCAATATGCCTTTGACTAGGTTGAGTGCAATTACGGTCCAGCATAGCCGACTGCTGAAAAGTAGCTTGCAATGCTCTGCTCTTTCCTGACTGTAGCAGCCCCTTACCTCCAAGTAATGTTGCCCCACTATCCACTTGGCACTGCTCTTGATACTTGAGAGTTGCTTGTCGCAAGAAGATGTAGTTGAGCCGTGTTGTTGTTCCCCACAGATCCAATCAAAGGGATGAGCCAACGATCGATAGTCGTAAGTGGGGTTTAGCTTGGCTAATTCGCCAGTGGATACCGTTTTGTTATCAACAACGAGGATCACATCGCCTCGCAAAGACTGAAACGTGGTTCCGTACTCATCGATACATTTGCTGGTGTTGAGAAAATTGAATCGATTGCGGGTAATGATGTTTGTATCTGGAAGGAGCTCGATCGGTAAGACATCCGGAGCATGTTTCATTTCGACTCCGCCGAAGTTATCCGCGCTGATGGTGTAAACTCTATATCGGCTTGTAGAAGTCGAGGTGAAAACAACTGAATTGAAACTGCAGAACCGCCAGTATTGGATCACAATGAAATATGAGATGTTTACAGCAAATGAAGTGGGAATGAAGACATCGCCAGAAGGGCCCAGAGCATCCTTCTCTTCCAAGCAATGCTCCAGAAGTTACGAATGCTTGGAATGCCAATATCGAGCCACTCATGCTTGGCATGCGCACTATCGATCTCGGTCCGAGTCGGTGCAATCAAGCACTGCATGCAGTAGTTGCTTCCTGTCAGTAAAACAGTACTGATGATGTTGATTGCGACGTGAGCGCAAGTATTCCAGCTCTGGATGCTCTGGCAGTGACCGTTTGCTACAACTCCAGTGTCAGGTGTCATAGTGTCGCTCGAGTGCGTCATGGCCCAGATGACGAAAGACAGGTTGACGAAGAACGTGACGAATGCGGCCGCGGAAAAAGCGAGCGCACTTCTTTTCCAGCGACTATGAGGGAAGATCTCTTCTCTCTTCTTGATAAAGATCATTGTAGATGATTTGAAGCAATATCGTGGCGATACGAAATTGGTCGAAACGCTGCCAGCGAAGTGATGAGTCGGAGGACAAGCTCCCCGCCACATTTCTTTGGTTGCACACGAGGATTGCGAAAGAATTTAAGGACTTTTGCCTTGAAGCCCCCCCTGCTCTCGTAGACTAAGGCCGTGGTATTCAGTCAGGCAACAAAGCCCTTTGTCATCATACTCATGGTAGCTCATGTCTTGGACGGTTTGGCACCTACGGAAAGTTAAGTAGCATCTGCCAATTCAAGTCCAACTGCATGATTTCCAAAAATTCCCCAAGGTCTTAGGCCGGTGTGGCTGGTCGACTGGTCAATAGCTAATTCCCATATAGCGAGTAAGTGTCTCGATATACGTCCCACACTAATGCCACCCTTCTATTTGTAGAATAAGCCAGCTTTACTAAGGCCCAGATCTGCTCGAGTGAAGCGGTTAATCGATAATTGCCAGAGGCGCGGAGCCACTGATTCAGGCAGGGCTCGGTTTGTAGTTGAACTGCCACTGTCGAGCGCCACTACCGTGGCTGTGGAGTGCCAGCCGGGCCGCTCTGTTCCCACGTCGAGAATCGATCCTTAGTTGTCGACGTATAACGCGTCCTATAGCCAATGACTATAACATCTCCAGCCTAGCTCAGCCACTGTTGTAGAAGGAAACCGTGCACAATTTTAGGCCCTGATATTCCGCGAATTAATCGCCAATTGCCAATTGCCAGCGGTACAACGCCACGGCTTCTGCCGCTGCCCAGCTAGCGATTGTATCACCGCGTTGGGCTGTAGTCCCGGGCTACTACCGGAGCGCCGTTACGTGTTTTTTGCTCTAGAATCAGTCCTGGCATCAGATCCTAGCGATTGGGCGCCCTTCGTACAATGCCAGTTGCCAGCCCAGATTTGACCCCAATGCCAAAAGCTATACCATCTCCGGCCTGTCTTAGCCACTGATTCAGAAAGGAACATTGCATAACTTTGGTAGGATTAAAAGACCGGATCCGTCAGCGAGTCTACGGCCTAAGTAGGTTTGGCTTAACGGAAAAGGGGTTTCCGTTGATTTTATGCACAGATTACATCAGCCGGGCAATTGGCAATTGGCGATTAATTCGCGGAAGATCAGGGCCTTAGCATCGACGAGAGACCGAATCCGGTAGCTGAACTACATTCTAATGAGGCTTGATCTGGTGCAGAGCTCAACTTGCATGCAGCATCGCCGCTCGCGACTAAAGAGTCCGCGATATAGGCTCGTAGGCAGACAATCAGGGGACAAAACGTCTACCACTTAACACACCGTGAGATCCTCAGTTCTCGGCCGCCGTTGGCACCACGGTCTTAGTGACGAATCGAGAGTTGTTGTGATGTTTTTGCGGCCTACTTTTGTTCACTCGTTTCGCAGTATCTGATCACTAGTCCTACGCGCCGATTTCTTTTGAGACTTTTTCAGCTTCCTTCATCGAACTGATCGTGAAATTCGCGTGTCAGTGATAGAGGCGCGAATGTCTTCAGATCGACCGCATCAGCCCGCTGGAATACATCCCTCCGGGCTAGGACCAAGAACGACAGATAAGGGGGGGGCTTGACTTTGGCACAGCCTCTGGGTAATCTGGGAAACAAAGTGTTGCTAGGCTCAAAAGAGCTACAAGCTGTGGCGAGATGAGACAGGCTAGATGTGACTCTTTCTGTCTGTGGCCGAAAATACGCCCTCTACTGTTACACTGCGCTAGACAAGCCTCAGCTGAACTGATTCACAAGCTTACCTTCCAGTCAAATATATGTTGCGGAGAAGAGGCAGCTAATATGATTTGTGTTTCGTACTGTGTAGATGCCATTGCTAAGGTAGATCCAACCTGCGGTCCAAGGGGACCTGTGGGATAACTTTGTAGGGAGTGGAATTATACTTGCGATGTCAAAATAAGCTTTTCTGTTTTATTTCAACTGAGTTGAGACTAACCCACGGGCACTGAACATATTACCGAGCTTGAGAGAGCGACTGGTTTCGCGACACGACAGGCAGAGTTGAGCTGCCCAATGGGTGGCAGAAAGCCCATGTCTCGTAGACAACCCACACGTGGCTGAGACCGTATTCAAAGAGCCGGCCGGGTACAGTCGCCAAATTTCACATGCCGGTGCTCTTGGCAGCGTACGAGCTGTGCCCGTCCTACTTACAGTTCCCCCAAGCTAGAGACTAGGGATTCGGAGTGACGGATCGAGTCCTTCCACAGGAATTAATTTGGTTTAGGCTTAATAGTCCAGTGAAGTAGGTGCGCTGCTTCCCGTCGGTGCCCGCATGCGTAGGCTACCTCGGCCCCGATACCTGTCTCTCTTACTCCCCGCTTCACGAGGTAAGTTCGCCAAATCATCGCTCTCAGGTTTGTCAGGAAGCCTCCTACATCAGCACCGGTTCAGCCTCACTTCGTACCGTCTCACACGGACAGTTCCTACATCAAGTACCTTAGGTACCTTAGGCGAACTTGAGGTTTTTCTTTTTCGACTTTCAAGTACCTTTACACAAGTTACTTTCGATACCCTAAATGAGTTTCTATGTCAACCGCCCATTGCCATGCGTTCTTACCCGCAGCAAAGCTCTGTGACGTCTTCGACACCACGTAGCTATAAGAAACGCCCAGCGTCAGCGGCAGATTTGGACTGCAACTTGGAACGTTCGGCCTCTGTGAGAAATTCTGAAAATAACTGCCCGAAACGGGGAAGCTTGACGTAGTCTACCTACTGACCACCAGGCTTAGCTAGACGTTTGCTCATTTGATCGGTCAAGATGTATGGAACCGAGGCTGTGTTTATATAACCACGGTCCCGACGGGGGCGAGCCTGCTATATAGATCTTACTTGGGTGATATCGACCGTCAAGTGGAATGAACGTCGTGTCCGCCGGTCACTCTCTGGGCTTTTCCTCTTGTTCTGTATTCATCATGCCATCACCATCAGGCTGACTGGTTCTCATCGTGGGTGGCAACCCACAAATCACACAGTCTTCCAGTCCCACCACGGGCCACACATTCTCAAGATAGCCTCCGATGGCACAGCGGCGGGCAACCTCGCAACATCAAGAATCAGTAACTACTACCAGTACTACAACGACAAAGAGTATATCAAATTCATACCACTGCATAGCCGCGGACCAAAACATCGTAGCTTTACAATTGATCTCATCAAAGAAAAGAAGATTGACGTCGTTCACAACCATCAACTAAAAATCGAAGGGAAACAATGCGAGACTTTTCAACAGACAAGACGAGAACCCCCCCCCTAAACTCCTCCCAAAACCAAAACAACAGAAACCAACCGAGCCCCAAATGCAGAAGTCCTGAAAACACCAGACATCATACAATACCCAATACGCTACGGCGGTGTCCGCTCGGTTATCAGGCCCGGTATTTTATATCAGAATGACGATGCACTAGACTCATTGTAATGGTCTCAACCAGAGGACGAGTCTGCCAGACAAATGTTGCATTAGGATCAATGGATGGTATGCCATCTTTCACAAATTCGACTTTGCGTGATGTACCTGGTATGTAACTCAACCAGTCGCGTGATGTCATCCACTACTGATGGCCAAATAAACTACATGTAACAAACAAGGTGCCCGTGGGCCACCTATGGGTAAAGTGCCACCAAATATCAAATCCTCTCCATGGAAGATGAAGTCCGTCCGCCTGCCCTTCAGGCTTTTCCAGTTCACGCCCAAGTCCGTTGCTAGAAGCAGGTCGCTGAAAGTGGTAGAGTATGTACACTTAGGTGCGTACCGCAGAAAGATATAAACAACCAGGCCACCACTCGCCTTCCTCTTAGCGGCCTGGGCCGTGAAGAGAGTTCTTCAGCAGCTCGTACATCTCATTGTCGCCGGGAGAGTAGCTATGGCCCGACATGTTAAGAGAGCCATGCTGCTGCTGGTATGCTTGATTGGAGGAGCTGGACCCGCTTCCGTAATTGGCGGACGTGGTACCTCTCGTGGCATAGCCTCCAGAGACGTTCGCTGGCGTGAAGGAAGTGTTAGATCCCGAATTAAACCCATACCAGTTATGTTGGTCCGGCTGAGTTGATTGCTGCTGGGTCTGATTTGCGTAAGATCCATACGATTGTGCTTGTTGCGGCTGCGACTGCGACTGCGGCTGCGACTGCGACTGCGACTGTGGCTGTTGCGGCTGCTGATTTGTGTTCCTCGAGGACGACCTTGGCTGAGTGCTGTTCACTGCTGAATTTCGCATGTTGAACGACTGCAGAGAGGATGACTGCTGCTGAGTCGTCGACGGCTGTTGAGCGTAAGTGTTCGCCGCCGCCGTGGTGTTGTTATTATTGTGTGATTGCGCATTGCGCGATTGCGATTGATTGTTGTACAACTGTCCGGACCGCGTATTACCGCTGGAGGTGTGTGAGGCAGTGGTATTGATTCTGTCGTAGTCATACGAAGGGTAAGTGGATGTGGTCGCAGACGTGTTTTGCGCCGCATAGGGCTGATAAGCAAGTCTGGTGGTATTCAACTCTGTCGAGTTGTTGCTCTGGCTAGAGTACTTCGTACTGTAGTTGTCGTAGTCGGAGACGTTGCTCAAGGATTGGGTATCATTGTATGTTGCTGAGTCCATCGCCGCTGAAGTTGAGGGTTGGACAGTGTGATGGGAAGGTGTAGCACGGGGTTCATTGACCGGAGTACGAGTGGAGGCTCTCTGTCCAGCTCGACTCTTAGTTCGGGCTGCCTGCACTGGCGTCTGGAATGGCGAGACCTGGGCCGGGGTAACTGTTTGGGCCACTTGAGCTGCTTGCTGTGTAGGGGAAGGGCGATGTTGCTGTTGTTGCTGTACAGCGACATGGGCCGTAGTCTGTTGCGTGTTCCGGTAGGATGTCTCCTGGGGAGCGACGGTAGTCGCAGCCGGCATCTGGGTCGACCTCCGCGGCCTGTGCTGCTTGGTCATCATGGTAGGCGAAATTGTATTCGCTGCCCTGGGAGGAGAAATGCTCTGCCAATTT